TGCATTAGAGTCAATGGAGCACAGCTGTGTTGTCAGACCCTGGTCTGAGCCGGCCCGATGCTACATTATGATTAGCGTATGATCTGCATCAGGGGGCGGGACTTAGCGAAGGGTCAGTTATTGTATTTCATAAGTGCTGTCGACATAAAGCTGTTTGAAGCTGGAGCATTTGTCTGCAACAGTGTCTCACCACATTGACAGTACAAATGTTTACCTTCCTACAAACAGTTTTATTCTGAAAATGTGAAGAGAGCAGGTTATTTTTGGAAATATTTTCGACATAACATACAACCACAATGAGAGCATGTACAAATGATGAGGGAGAAAGGCTGAAATAGACAGAGAGTGAAACAGGTGGGAGTAAAAGTGGAAAAAAGGAAGTAACAAATGAGACAGTGCAAATGGTGAGGAAGCTACAGTAACTCAGAGAGAGACAAACTGTAGGAAGAGAAGAGAGGAAGTGAGTGTTATTGGGTGTTAAAGTCTGAGTGTGTTCTTTAGGAGCTAATAATATTTCTCACTGTCTGTCTCCCTGCTTCTCACACACACACTGAGATACAACGTGGAGAGGACACAGAGAGTGAGAGTCAATCATGTCAGATGTGTGTGTGTGTGCTTGTGTGACGCATATCAGATAGCTGTCTGTGTGTTTTTGTCTCCAGAGGACCTCATAATGTGTCTGTCAGAGCAACAAGGACACAGCGATAGACTTATCTTCACACACTGACACACGCACACAAACAGATCACCCAACACACAATGCCAGGCACATACTGCTGGCAGCTATAATCTGGAGAGTATACACACATTTTACACACACAGCGATGTTGAAAGGGGCATTTCATTGTAGATAACCCAAAAATCAACCTTTTCATGTATGTATTAATCCATTCATCCTTCCATTCATTCACCCATTCAACATTTTGTACCCCTCCATGGGTATGTCAGTCAATACATCCCTCCACACCTTTATTTAACCAGGTAATCTTGTCTCTTTGAAGCAACATCATTCGTTTAAACTGCATTTTGACCCTGAATGAAAGGTTACCGTTTCTCCTTGAAATGTGACTGTGTGTGTTTAAGAGGCACAATTATGTTCTCATTTGAATTTATTTAATGAAATGCTCAAGTGGTTTCACAATTTGTCTGTGCGCCTGTGTGTGTGTGCGCTCTAATAACAGGAAGGAGAATCTGATGTGTCCTCTAAAAGTCACCATTTGTTGTTCTGTGATACATCTTCATTTTGCCAGCTCATTACCTTGGTTTCACATGAAAATACATCCTGCTGGCAACATAGTTAAGACGCATGGACAGAGAGATTTTTGGCTGTTTTTCTTTGTTATTTATTTCCTCGTGGCTTTTTTTCCACCCATACTTTTGTTTATCCCTCATTTTTGAACTTTCTCTGTCTTACTCCATCTCACTGTCTTCATTGTTGTTTCTCTCTTTGTCCTCTGGTCTTTGTTTGAGGAAGGTTTTCTCTGAACAAACAGTCTTAATTTCACACAACTGTAAACAGCATCAAGCTTATTTCCCGCATTCTGTCATCAACGTGGCTGCTTGGAGGACTAAATCTGATATGTGGTGAAATGGGGGTAGGATCTTAAAAGAATAATTTGGCATTGGGAAAAAACACGTACTATAAGTGTAGATTGATGCCACTCTCTTCTATATAGCAAATATCAGCATGTTAGAGCCAACAGATAATTAGCTTAGTTTAGCATAGAGATTAGAGGCAATGCTGGTGAAGATTCTCAGTCATCCAGCTCATGGTAATCTTGGGATCCCTGTCCATTTGCATATGGACCCATCTAACCCTAACTACACACATGATGGCTGGGGGGGATCAGCAACTCACAGATGACCTTAACCTCTGAAACTCAGAGCTCACATGTGACCTCAACGACACTGTAAGGGTTCACACCCACACAGAGTTCAAAGCCTGCGACTCTGCACCAGTCTGTTAGAACTGAAGAAGCCTTTTGGATGAGAGGTGAAACGTCTTCAAGAAAGTCAAGCAAGTCCAGTTGCCCATGATATAGCAGTTAAGATCAGAGGCACTGGGAGAACCAGCTAACATGTGGTAGCTAGCCACTTGCCACTGGTTGCATGTAGGACGACATCAACTTTAGTTTTTTTGTACGGACAAAACAAGTTATAATGGGTTTATTATACAAAGATTTGGAGATTATTGTACCCAAGGATTATGGCATCCAACACTTTACCCTGTTAAAACAGTACTTACAACTTGGATTCATTTTTATGAAAAACCCTTTCGATTCTAGAGGGATATAAATAATCGAGGAATGTACACATTCAGACTTTTTGAGCGCTTTAGAGGTAGGGAGTCAGCACTTTTTTTTCCATGCCGCTGTGGTAGACTGTCACAGGGCTGACACATAGAGAAAGACAACTATTCACGCTCACATTCACACCTACAGCCAATTCAGAGTCACCAGTTAACCTGCATGTCTTTGGACTGTGGGAGGAAGCTGGAGTACCCAGAGTAAACCCACACCAGGAACCTTCTTGCTGTGAGGCAACAATGCTAACCACTGCATCATCATGCCTCCCCGTAACTTGGATTGTGTTTTATAAAAACACTTGATTTTTTTGATCGTTGGACCTTTACGGACCAAAGGAATATAAATAACTTACAGGGTAATCGAGGAATGGACACATATTCTGACTTTATGACAGCCTCAGAGGAAGGGAGTCACCACTTGTTTTTGCGTCATGCTGGTAAATCTGAATGAATTACGGTCCTCTCTGGTGCTCATGGTTTCAGTAAAATGAAATGAACAGAGCTAACAATGTGTAGCATCTCCATATTGACAAGAGGTGAACCATATATGAAATGCACAATCTAAACAGCTAACTGATATTAGCTCAAGTGGGAAGTCAACAGTCCAGTTTTATACATCCAAGAGAACCTTTGTAAAAAAAAAAAAAAATAACTGCCTGGCAACCAGACTGGGTGTCTTTTAATAGAAGTTTTACAGTATATTATTATTCTGTTGTTAAAATGGCTTTTAATTTGGCAAAATGCACGGTTTGACTTGTTTGGGACTTGAAAGTCAAAGTTAAGGACTTGAGACTTGACTTGAGACCTGTGTGCAAAGACTTCTGACTTAAAAAACAATGACTTAATCTCACCTTTAGTGCAACGTTTATGTAACTGTAATACACAGGAAGTTTGTGTTAATGACCAGTTTGTGCAGAGAAAGTGTTTCCAGTTATAACATTCTACAGGGATGACGGTATGACTGGCATGTTGTCTAACCAGCCAAGCATCAACGTATCATGTAGCATGTGAATATAATCATTAAAATACAACATTAAAGATATGTTACCAGGCTACACATGGCCATAAGTTCATGTATTTAGGCTACAGCCTCCTGCAGACAACTTAACTGATGTGATTATATCCCTCTGATAAGTACTTGAGTGCATGCTCTTTGGACATCTTTTATTTTCTGTCTTCACTTGATGTCAAAGTAAGTTGAGAGTAATTATTGGCTGGATTTGAGCTGATCAGAACATAAGCAAAGGCTTTCCAAGTGCCTTCATGGTTGTAATAAATCAGTCGGACCGGGCAAAGGCTCCTTTCTCAAAGGAAATGGTCGAATATTTAGAAAGAATTTCAATTTGCTCCCGACCGCTGCTGTAACGTTGGGTTATTTTACTGGAATCTTTTCTAATGTAGGAGCATGCAGCTCATAGAAATTACTGACACAGCTGGAACGATGAGGAGTACAACTTTGTAGATGCTCCAATCATGATTACATTTTCACATTTCTGTGGACACTTAATGTAAACTCTCAGTTGTAAACCTTAATAATAATATTCTATCAGGACTATCAATCAATTTTGATTATCACTAACAGGTAGAGCCAATGATTAAAGGGGAATTACACCCATTTTCAAAATTCTAACGTGATTTTTATGGTTTAACACAGTAAATAAGAACAACTCTCTCCCAAGTCCAAAAGCTAGAGTGCTGAAATTCAAACTTGTGATGTCAAAAGTAAAAAGTCTGGAACTGCTCCACAGACAGTGACTTGGAAAAGATGTTCTTGATCAGTGTTTTTCAAACTTTTTGTGTGTACTCTTCGGACTTCTTTGATTTCTTTGCCCAAGGCACAAAATCTCAATCCAAAAATCTGTGCACAACAGCTTCTATAACATGTGTTATCACTCTTATCACAACATAAGACAATAAAAATAAGAAAAAATAGGACAGATAGCTTTCTTGATACTGTCTTCATCTTCGCTGGTGTTTTGTTGTAATTTGCTCTGTACAATAAAGCGATCCGTTGTCCCACTCATGGCTTTTTCCTTTTAAATGTTATCATCCCTCACACTGGCTGTCAGTCAGGCCTTTGATGAGTCACACACTTATATTCCCATGCCCGAACGGTGACAAATGGATTGCCCATAAGGGTATATTAAATGAAATGAAATGAAATTAAATTAAATTTTTAGCTAGAGTTTGCCTTTATTAGGAAATGGTTGCACACAACATACTGATACACTCAATAAAAATTCATTTATAACTTTTTGTGTAGGCGCAGTTGAATATTGCAATATTAATGTAAAATCCCACGGCACACCTGGATTTACATCACTGTACACTACTTGAGAAACCCAGATGACACTGAGAGCAGCCAGGGAAATGCTCTGAGTGTATGCATACATTTACTGTTTCAGTACTGAGAACATTGCAGTAGAATAAAGGCCATTTGGGTATAAAAAAAGAAAACAAACAAACTGTGGGTTCACAAGATCAGTCTCCCATTCATTGTCTAAGGAGCAGCTCCAGACTTTAGGTTCTATGACAACACAAGTTCGAGGCTTACTTCTGTGGTTTCTGGCTTTGACAGGGTAGCTCATGTTCACGGATATTGATTGAACTTTAATAATAATACATTGGAAGTCTCAACTTGGGTGGTGTTCCCCTTTAATTTCATTGTGGATTCATCTCTCCGTTATTCTCCCGATTAATCATTTTGCCGATAAAATGTCAGATAATAGTCAAACATGCCCTATGTAATTTCCCAGAGCCCAAGGTGAGGTCTTCAAATAGTGTTTAATCCAACCAGCAGTCCAAAAATCCAGAGCTGTTCAGTTTATTATCGTGTTTGAAAAAGGGAAAGCATCAGAGACCAGTTATTAGACGCCTGCCTTTCCAAAAAAAAAAAAAAAATAGCCACAAGTGTTTGATTGGAGTCGGCAACAGTGTTTACATACACAGATTTTACATTAGACAAACATCTTTCCTGATAATAAATAGCCCTGTGCTCATGAATAAAACATCCCACCTATTACACTAGTTGCAAATAGCACAGTAACTGAAATATGGATTTATTATTGTTGTGGCTAATATTGACATACTATTACTCCATCTACAGTTTTCTCAACAATAGGATGAGCTCATTTGGGCTGTAAATTAGATGTGAATATTATGTATTTATGGAGTTTGAACCTGAATATTTGCCAGAATAAAACAACAAAATAAACAGAAAATAACAGTAAATGAAAGTGCAGAAATGGTTCGCTGTAGTTTTTCAGCTTCTCTGTGTTGTTTCGTCCTTTAGTCTCCGTCTCTTCCTCTCTTATATAACCCTCCCTGTCTCTCCATTTATCTCCAAATACACACAGTCCCATAGATATGCTCATACACATCTCATCTTTTTGCTTTCTTCTTAGAAACTGGGTTAAATTCTGCAAAATGTAATGTGTATATTTCCGGCGGCCACTTCCATTTAGCTCTTGATTTAAACATCCCATTTCCTCTGCAGTAAGGAAGATGCACAGTAAAGTGCTGACATGTATTAAAAGCACATCAGAAGGACTATGTTTAATGACAGGTTTCCTTGCTAATGTTTCTCTCTTTGATCTTGCAGGCGTGGATATGGACAACATGAGGTAAGAGTCTTTTTCTGTATGCACGCTGTATACAGTAGTTGCATGTGTGTTACTGACTTTTTCTTATTTACCTCTGATGTTCAGTCATACCCTTTATTGTGTTCTGCTCTTTCTGTTCAGTTCTGTTCGGTGTAATCAAGATGGTACAGCATGTAATCAGTGCTTTGTATTTACAAATTTTTGTAGCCGTGTAATTGACTATCTCCCATGTCTGCAATCCACTGATGATGCGTATTAAAATGCAAAAACACAAAGACACTGATAAAGACAGTCAACTAGTCCTTTTAAAATATGACCTTCAGAGAGAAACTTTAATGATCTTTATCTCAAGACAGTGTACAGACATGCTTGTTAGTTTTACGTAATGTTTATGGTTTAACATGTAGTACATGTTAGTTCAGTCAGGAACTCTTTAGTCAAAGAAAACTTAATTTCCATTTGCAGTATCCATTTGCACCTTTCCACTCTTCCATGCGCCTAGGTGGAAAGCCTAAGGTGGAGAGAGCACACCTTTCCACCCTTTTGTGTGCCTACATGGAAAGCCTAAGGCAAAGAGAGCGCACCTCTCTGCCCTTCCACGTGCAAACAAGGAAAGCCTGAGGCAGAGAGAGCAAAACTCCCTGCCCTTCCTTGCGCCTATATGTAAAGCCTAAAGGTTCATTCTCAATGCCGCGATGCGGAAATGCAGGACAGATTTGCAGAATATTTGCGCAGCGCTTTTCCGCACATAAACCATACACACAGTCGTGGTACGGACGCAGTGCGGAATTTCACGTTGTTGTGTTCCATGTCCACGCAGTGGACCCATGGGTGTGGGTGAACATTTTTTAGCACTTTCTTTAGCACTTACCACTCTCACCGCAGCCACCAAGCTGGACAATGGACTGCCAGATGTTGTCCTTTAATTCATTGTTCATAAAATCATCCCGTCTTTTATCAAAAAAGACGGGGTGCTATGATACGGGGTTCATCAACCTTTCTCCCATACTGTCCTGCCTGAGTGGATTTTGAACTCTCCCGGGTCTGCGTGACGTCACTATAAACAAACAATTTCATTGGCCCAGCTGTGTAGTTCCGCCGGCGAATACCGCAGGGGTCACAGTCTGGGCGGAAACTTTTTTCACCACATGAAAGTTCCGCCCCGGTGTGCAGACTTCCAGAAGAACCCATGACATTGATAAGTCAGACAAATCATGAAAAGGAGGAGCTGGGGTGGAGGCAGGTTGCAAAGCAGCTTGCAGAGGAAACAACAACAGTAGGCAGGCCAGAGCAGTTTAAATAGGGCGCGCTGAATGAGATTCACCAATTGGTTGCATAGAAAAGAATCATGTGATCTATCAGCTGACTCCCTTCCATCAATCAGCTGCTCTATCAGCTGATTGGGCTGTTTGAGATCAGCTGATGTAGCTGGGATCTGAGCTGAGCTTGACATTATGTCCTGGCTAAACCAACACTATGCTCAGTCTTTGTGCAAATGGACTACATTTTACACAGAAGGAACGCTTGTATTGCTGCCTTTTTGTGAATATTAATGGCTTATATTTTGAAACTTGTAAATATTTAATTTTAAACTAAAACTGAGTTCCAAATTGATATCCACTCCAAGAAAAAAAGTAATACCTGCTCCCACCAAATTGATTGACAACACCAAATGAAAACAAACACAGACAGGATTCTCTGCATTCTAGCAATATTGGATGAAGAACATCAGGTATTGATTTTCCAAAGTAGATGTATTCCATTTTGGGGGAGAGCTTCTAACTTCTTTCATTTGTCTTGTCATTCGTTGCTTTTCTTTCCCTCTGGCAGACGCAACAACTTCTCCGACCTTCTCTGCTCAGACCAGAGGTACTCTATCTCTCTTTTCTGGATACTTCTTTACTCTCCATGTGTGGGTCTGTGTACGTGCAATTTTTCATGAGGGATGTGTTTTAAATATGTACATATGAGTGTGTGTTTGTGGAGATAGATTTGTGTGGGTTTAGTAGTAGGTATGTATGTCTGTCTATGTGTGTGTTTAGAAAGCTGCTAACAATAGTCTGTTAATCTGACAGGAGTTATCAATGGAGTCTGGCATCGATCCCGGCCAGGACTACTACACACAAGACTATTACAACTACGATCACGGGTTTGTATGCACATCCTACATATTGCTTTTTCTACCTTTAGAGTGTATATACATTTTGCTTGTCTGTAATCTTAACATACTGTATGTTAGGACTGTGTGTAACTACTTGATACCTTTCAGTTATCGACCGAAATAACCCACTGCCAAGTAGTATCGAAACTTCTCCGGTCAAACAATGCCTGCATTCGATCCTTTTTGTGCCCGGGGCCTGATCCTCGACCGTCCCCTCTCCCCACCAGGGCAGCAAACTTTCTGTTGCTGCTGTCTCTGAAGTTTTTCTCCTCCTGGCAAACAGTCAGTCAGCGTCTTCCAGCGAACACCCAATGCTGAGTCGTTAAACAGCCCCAACAAACTCACAAACTCAGACCTGTATCAGGAAAGTCACAGCTCGTTTAAGGCTAAAGTGAACAGATACGTTTTTAGCTTTCTTTTAAAAATATCTAGCGAGCTAGCTTCCCTGATATCTATAGGTAGTTTGCTCCTCAGCTTTGTGGTGTAATTGACAAAGGCTGAATCCCTGATGTTCTTTCGGCTGTTTCTGGGAACCTCCAATAAACCAGCAGCAGGTGATCACAGTGTTCTTGAAGGCAAATAGTTAACAAGGTATCTCATGGTTTTGGAAACACTGCAATATATACTGTCCCTGATGTCATTACACTGATTCCAGCCGTATTACCCAGCCCTAATAATCATATTTCCAATACAATTATCATTTTGTAAAAAAAAAAAAAAAAAAATAGCAGGTCTTATTAACTCCAAACAGTAATCAGTCACAGCTGCTTAAACAGCACTGTAATAGTAAATGAAAAGTGGTGTTTGTTTTTACAGCATTGTGTTTGTTTCATTTGCAGTGCAGTGAATGCTGTTTTGTAAATTCATTATTTACCAGTAGTGACACGCAGTAGAAAACATATTGAGGGCAGTGAGTTCAGACCATCTCCACTATGTTTCATCTCTGACCTTCAACCTCGACATCGATGAAACATATTTCCTCCCGCACGAGTCTGGAGCTCACTGTGTGCACTTTTATCTGGCCTCGTGTCAGTCCTCTGGCAGCTGTTTTGATATTACACTGACCACGTCAGTCACACAGTATGACGGCTACTGTGGAATCTCGACACCGGTGACCTGCCTCATACCAACCTCCCTGCACTCATGTGTGCTTAATATGTTTTTGAACTACAGGAAGTCACAAGAGCTGAAGGAAGAGCTTACAGAGATTTTGCTCAAAGCGTGTGTGTGTGTGTGTGTGTGTGTGTGTGTGTGTGTGTGTGTGTGTGTGCATGTACTGTACATGTGTGTATCTTTTCTTGGATGTTGCAAAAGCCGGAAATACTGTATAGAAAGGCAATAAACACACACAGAGATACATTAGATCAAAGCGTTCATGGACAAGATCGCAGAGGACTCACTGCATACCTCCCAAGTGTGTGTGTGTGTGTGTGTGTGTGTGTGTGTGTGTGTGTGTGTGTGTTAGTCTGCACCCAGCCTGCCATCTGTGATGCATTGTGTAATTCTTATAATTTTAGCTGCAGACTCCCGGGAACTTGATTTTATACACCCACCCACACTCACATAAATACACAGTACTAGACACACACACATAAATTCTCTCATGGCAGACACATTCATTCACTCACTCACTCATACACTCACTCAGCAATGCTCACTTGCTCAGTCTTTCTTTCACACATGCACACACACACACATACACACAGAGCTAATTCTCTCTGCCTTGCATTGCAATACTGTAGCAGCTAATCAGGCAGCCAGCCGTGGAAGCAGACAATGGGCCAGATGCTGTTGGCTTATAGCAACATCCACAAACTCATGTCTGACTCTGTACGTACGCAGGAGCAGGAAATCAGACTTTGTGACCCGGTGGGACTCAGATCTAATCACTTTATTCGTCGCAGTTGTAAATGAAAGGTGCGGGATTTTTTTCAAAGACTATGCTAACAAATGCTAAACCAGCCTCTCAGGACGCAGACAAAGTTTTCATGCCTGAGTTTTGTTTCTGAGAAGCAGACAACAGCTGTTGCAGTGTTTGCTTCCATAGCTACACTAATCCATTTGGAAGCCATTTGGAAGGATGTTGCATAACCTTTTGACCTTTTCTTTCATCTGCCTTCAAAAGATGGGATCAAAATGGGATTTTCTCTGCATGTGGGAATGTAGCCATCTGCCATTGGCGTGATTCTGATTGGATTTATACAGATGCTGAAAATAACGTGAACCATTTGTTGCACAGGTCTGATGTTTTGACGCATGTCTGAAAAAAAACCCAACACAAAAACAACAAAACAAGCCAAATTCATGTTGCCCTCTAGTCAAGAGTAAAATACTCAAACGTACACGCCATGGAGCAACAAGGGATTAAATCTTGCTTTTCCAAAATTGTTACTGGCGTGGGTGATGAGCAGTGTGACTGTCAAGACGCTGATAGGTGCTGAGTTAGGGCACCCACATGAAAAATATAGGATGGGGAGAGTGAGATCTGGCATTATTGGCTCAGTGAAGATACCATTTTCATTCTGTAGACAGAAGCAGGACAAAGGTGAGAACAGAAAGAAGAAGTTTGCACATCCAGCCTGTTTTAGGCTCAGTGCAAGATATATGAGGACATTAATTACTAATGGGAGAAAATATTAAAGAGATGGTTCAACGTTTTGGGTAATATGCTCATTTGCTTTCTTGCAGAGAGTTAGATAAGAGAATCAATACCACACTCATGTTTCTGTGCGCTAAATACAAAACTACAGCCAGTTAGCTTAGCTTAGCATATGACTGGAAAAGGAGGAAATGGCTAAACCTGGCTCTGTCTCTGGTGTTAACACAGCAATCACACTCAGGTGCGCACCAAAACAACCAGACCAAGACGTTCTTGAAGAGGTGGTCCGAACCAACTGCAGTCACATGACGCATTGTTTGGGTTAAACATGAGCATGTTACAGTCCTGGAGGATTATTAATGTGCACCTCCTCCTGTACTGCCTTAATATGCACATTCAGCACATCCAATGCATCAAAACATTGTTTTCTAGTTGGAGCTGCGCTTCATTTTCAAACTGTATGGTTTGACTAAAATGAACAATGACAGCAATATAGTCCACGATGACCGGCGCTAAAATCAACCTGCGTAGTTGTCCCTCCATTGTGACATTAGAAAGTGTCACATTTATCTTGCAAGTGTACTCTTCTTCAACGTTTTGTTTACTTCCTGGATTTGTCCTGCATGAAAATTCTGTCCAATCAAGAGCAGCTTTCTCGCACAAGGCACTTTATCTGGTCTGCTTGTAAATGCTGCCGTGAGAACACAAACCAACTCTAGGCAATTATGCACCTTTGTAACAAAAATAGTCCCTGATTCAGACCAAAGCAAGACAACTCTAGGTCTGAAAGCACCCTTAAACGCACTAATTGAAAGTTATCTTATTTCTTTCATGCAAACCGAAGAGTAAAAGCGCCACGCTATGGTTTTACTGGCAGTTATGTTGGACTATTTTTTGACTGTTCCTAACCAAGAAATACGATAACAGTGTCCTGATTCCCGCATCATATTTAACAGACAACAGAAATCAAGAGCAGTTTTTTACTCTTAACGCTCATTTATGCTTTCTGCACCAGTGGTTGCACAAAATGAGCTGACGCGGAATCGTAGGGAGGAATTGTTTGGATCTGTTATACTCCATGCAGGTTTTTCCCATAGATGTATAATAATACATAGATACTTGATGCCAAGATGGCGTCTATTCGGTTGGATGGAATTACTCATCTGGTGCATACACGAAAAGATCATTTCTATTTGTGGGTTTACTGAATATGCACAGTAGTATTTCTCCGCTCAGTATAAATCAATTCATAGGTTACTCCTTCTTAGTTGTACATGATGGGTCTACTGGCTAATAATTTATGTTGGAACTGTCAGACGGAAACAGGAACATTTCTACATGCAGTCTGGGAATGTAAACTGGTTAATCCATTTTGGGAAAAAGTTGTGGATCACATAGGGAAGTGGTTAGGTACAACAATACCATAATCACCAAGGTTATGCCTTGTAGGGAACCAAACTGAAATACAGAGTATATCAAAATATAACCTTGTTGTGATACATGTCGGGGTCGTCAGACCTGCTGGAGTGATGCTCAGATTCTGGGAGAGCACATCATCTCCAGACTTTGAAAAGTGGAAGGAATCTATGTAAGAATGTGTCATACGAACACATGTTAGCTGGGGTCAGCGATGAAGTTGAAAGCTTTAAAAGGTCATGGGCAGGCTTTTTTGTTTGTGATACGTCTGTTGAACTGTAACGATGTGGTGTTTAGTTGTACCGCTGTGGTTGCTAAATTACTATTAAGGGTATAAGAATGTGTAGCGACCAGGTGCCTGTGGATACGTTGAGTTCCAGTAACAATACTGTCGGTTTGTTCATATTTTAATGAATTGATAAATAAAGAATTTGAATTATAGAAAAATATAGTCATGCTGCTTCAAATTTTAAGGACTATTACAGCATACAGTAACAGCACTTTAATCATGTGCAGGCTCTTCACTGTGTGGATATGATCACACGTCCTCAGGCTGATCATTAAACAGTCACTCAACATATGGAGACCCTCCTGAAACGGGCCAGTAACCCAGTTTTGTTCCATACACACAGACAACTGCAAAAACACACCATCATGTCTGGGCTGTGATGCCAGTGATTCTGGCAACTTTAAACTGCATGGAGTGATTCTCAGTTTGTGAGTGTCCCCTAGTGGAGACACGAGGAGGAGTGAGGAAGGATGGGGGAATGATGAAGGGAAGAACAGAGGGAAAGAAGGGGGGAAGAAAAGACTACTCCAAGCAGAGACTTGCTGTAGCCTTTAAGTAATTTGATTGTGTGTGCACTCCAGTTTGAGTCTGCGGGTTAATGACTGTGAAATCCCATAAGCAGGTTTTAGTGGAAGGTTAAGACTCATTACATTAGCTTGCAGAGGCCATACTGTAAGGATTATAACTAACATTTATGACTGGCCTGGTCGCTCCGTTTTGACCTCTTCATGGTTTCCTCTTTCTTCCCTGCTCCCCTTTATTCCCCAAGCACACCTCCGCCTCCCCTCCTTCCTACCCACACACATCACTCATCCACGTGCTCCTTCCATTTGTTTATTGCTTGGCTACTTAGTGTAATAGGAGAGCAACTTCTCCCACCAGTTGACTGTAAGCGGAGTGATTACACGAGGCAACTTTCTGTACAACTCTGTTACGGAACCAGGCCAAAGGACTTCCAGCAGATTTGTTACTTTAATCACACTGGGACATATTGTTTCCAGGATAGCATTTGAAAAGATGTGTTTTTTGACCCACCAGCTCTCGGAGTTGCTTGCCGCAGGGCACCGAGCCCAAGTGGTGATGCACAACACAGTTTTTTGGCCGGTGGAGCCAGGCAGCGCTCCCAGCAACAGGCAAAGAGAGAGACAAAAGGGAGGAAAAATTGATTCCAGTGTTTTCTGCTAACAAAATGTCTCCTGGCGACAAAATGCTCCTTTTGTGATTAAGTCAGCTTTTCTTAGGCAAGTCATTAGACACTGCTTATCATCGGAGTGAAACCACAGTGTTGCCCTGTGCTATTGCTTTAAGTGACTGTGGATAAGCGTCGGCCAAGTCCAACAGTTCTGTTGGTAAAGCAGATTTCCCTCCTGTCTCTACTTCTGATTGGCTGAAACTGTTCTACAACACCACAGATTCCATTTATTTGATTTTTATTATTTCACATAGCAAAAATGTGTGACAGTAAAATTTAGAGTTTTTAATATCTGCTCTGCACAGCTTCTTGTTGGTTATTGCTCATCTGTTATGCTCCCTGTCTCTGTCCAGATATGACCTTCCTCAGTACGGCAGTCGCAGGAAACTGATCTCACCGTCTGGCCTCTACGATGAATACGGAGAGGTCGTCGTTGATGACGACGGCAGCTACTACTACAGCCCGCAGGAGTCTGATGCAGAGGTAAATGCAAAAAAATATTAATCATAGTCACATTTATTGGTGTTGCACAATGACAAAACAGAAATTAGTTAAAGTACTAAGTTAGTGTATAGTTCAGTTCAAGTAATAAAAACTGTGCTCTTCGCGTGATAACTAACATGATCTTTAGGAGTCTTTAAAGGGACAGTTCACCTTAAAAGAAAAGTACATATTTTTCCTCTTACCTGAAGTGCCATTCATCAGTGTAGTTAATCAATCTTGTCTTTATGTGAGTTGCCGAGTGTTGGACAGTGTTAATTTTGACAGCTGTTTTAGATTTAGTCTCAGTCTTGAGACGAAAATGCTCATTAGTTAAAGTCACATTTTAGTCGTTTTTGCATTTGACACACTCCACAAATCCATTCAGCAGCTCCACCATCCACAGTCAGACACACATGGCTGATTATTTACTGCTGAATTGCAGGTCACAAGTCGCACCAACAGCTGATGCTGCTCCAGTGTGAGTGTTTTTGCTGGCGTTTACCAGCCTGTTGCTCATGCGGCATTTGAAGATAATTACAAGCATGACCATTCTCGGCTTTCAGTGTCTGAAAGTGCACCACTGACATTTTCGTCACATCTTGTCTTGTCAACGAAAATGGAGCACAGATTTTGCCTTTTTTTTTTTTTTTTTTTCCCTTAATTTTTTAAAATTTTATTATCAAGATGTACGTCGTCACGTTTTCGTCATGGAAAAAAAGGTGCTGATGAAAAATTTTCAGCTTAGTTTTCGTCAACGAAATTAACACTGGTGTTGGAGATATCAGCCGTAGAGACGTCTGCCTTCTCTTGAATATAATGGAGCTAGATGGCACTCAGCTTGTGGTGCTTAAAGTGCCAAAAAATACATTTGAAAAACTCAACAGTAATGTCTCTTTCCAGAAATCATGACCCAGTTACTCAAGATAATCCACAGACCTTTTTTCTTACTTCCAAATGTCAACATTAATGGTGTCAGGATGCCATTAATGTTGACATTTCACACTATTATGAGCACGAGCCTCTCGCCCATTAAAAAAATAAATGCTTCTATCTCTGATTGAGTCAGTGATACAGTTGGCGGGCGTAGTTTGGTAGAAAGAAAATAGTTCCTACATGAAACTGCTCACAACAAGGTCTGTGAATTACCTTGAGTAACCAGGTCATGATTTCTGAAAAGAGACGTTGCTGTTGAGTTTTTCAAATGTATTTTTTGGCACCACAAGCTGAGTGCCATCTAGTTACATTATATTCAAGAGAAGGCAGACATCTCTACGGCCGATAAATCAATTTACATTGATAAATAGCACTGCAGGTAAGTGATTTGGAGGTGAATTGTCCCTTAAAATATGACACTAATACAACAGTTAGACTGCTTTGAAGGTTGGGATGCAACAACAATAAAGAAACAATTCAACATTTTGGGAAATACACATATTCACTTTCTTGCTGAGCGTTAATTGAGAAAAGCATCTCGATCCAATCTCAAAGGTCGGGATCTGGGCCGATCGAGGCATCTTTTAATTGATCGGGATCTGGTACATTGAGCTATACAGAGGATCCGATCCTTTGTTTAATGTCAGCTGTCACACAGGTGTTTTTACACAGGAAGCATTAATGTAGGGATACTTGGAGTGAAGCTGTCTCCAACTCTCCTGTTGTCTTTCTCTCCTCCACTCAGCTGAGCTCCTGTATGTGTATTAAGACGGCAAAACACCACATACCATAAACAGCAGCAAAAATGCAGTACGAGACTGTTTGTGTTTTTTACCAAAATTATGAGCACTCCTTTCATTTCAGCTCAGTGTGAAAGTCTTGTGCGTTTATGGTTCATGGTGTTTCACTGTGTGTGGAGGAGAACCGACAATGGTCACACTCAAACAAAAATTCCGGGGGCAAAAAGCCAATAACAGTAATCCATTAATGTAGCCTAATTAACACAAAAGACGTACAGATGACTAAAAAAATAAACACTCAGTGGAACACAGTTAATTCAGGTTGGCCCGGTTCAGTATCAGGTACAAAAAAAACTTGGTCAGGACATCCCTAGATGAGAAGATACTTTGTGCAGTTAAAATGTCAACTGTTGTTCTTTTCCTAAAAGTTCTTATTTGGTTCTGGATTAATGTCATCGTGACAACAGGTGAGGAGACAGATTCAAGGAGGTAGATTAGCCCCACACCCTGCCTACCTCCAGCCTCGTCCTCCACCTCCTCATGGGCCATCCAGAAAGACCCCGGCAGCCCCAAGAACTGAGGGCGACACACACCAACAGGTAGAGGGTGGTGCAGCCATGAACACAAAGCCCAAGAGCTCCAGTGCGGCCGCCAGGTTGAAGGCCGTGATGAGAGTGAGCACACTGCTGTCCTCTGGTAGTAAAACATCTGGGCAGCCGCCTGCCATCCACCCACCCTGGAACAAAGCCAGAGTCAGGCCCGTGGAAGAGGGGGAAGGAGGTCGAGGGAGGGGATTTAAGAGAGTGGAAGCAGGGAGACAAGAAAACACGGGGGGAGGGAGAGATGAAGCAACAGAGAGAGGAAGGGAAAGAGGAGGCAGAAAAGAGATGGAAAAAAGAGGAAGAAGCAGAGGTGGTGTTACAAACAATGGGATGAGAAATGCTGCCGATGGAGTGGAAGGCATCAGGCCAGGGCACAGGGGAGAGCTCCCTGGCCACTTTGCCAGCTTGGACGGCGGCGTGGTCATCGACGGCAGTTATTTCCAGACGTCCTTTGAAACCAGCAAACCCCCACCGATGAAACAAAAGCTGAGCGAGGCCCTCAGTCTTATCTCCCTCTCCAGAAGGCTCCAGGGACCCGCCAGGGTGGGAGACGAACAGTGGATGGATGAAAAAAGCTGGGAGAGGGGAGGGGAGAACAGTAGGAAGATGTATGGCTCCATAGGAGATATGAGCGTTTCTGCATCAGTGTCTGAGAGAGCCACAGGGGAGGAGAGGGGGCGGTGGGAGCTAGGAGGGGAGAATAGCTCCTCTGAGATGTGGTGGAAGACAGAGAAACGATTTCATGACAGTGATTCAGAAACAGGAAGTGGCAGCAAGGAGTCTCCATCAGAATTTAGCCCCTCTGATGCAAGTAGCCCCACCTCATCTGTCACAGCCGAGCGCGACAAGACCGAATCCGACACAGAAACAGAAAAGGAAGAGGGAACTCCTGACACAGACAGAGAGTCAGAGCGTGGAAGCCAAGATGAGGAGGGAGAGGGGTCAGAGACTGAAGAGGAGTCGAGGCTTGAGAGCGAGGATGAAAGGAAGGAGTCAAGCAGAAAACGCTCAAAGGGTAGCGTTAGTACTGCGAGTAGCAACAGTGTTAGTAGTAAGAGGAGAAGTAGTGCCAAATTAAAGCGAGAAAGCAGAAGCAGCCACTCCACAGATAGAAACAGCAGCAGCGACTCTAAAAGTTCAAGATCCTCAGCTTCTACAGTTCGTAGTGCGAGGCCTCAGACTTCTCGACACTCTCGTTCTTCACATGAAACAATAGAGGAGGAGAGCGAAGGAGATGAATCAGGAGAGGAGGAGGAAGGGGCTGAAAGTGTAGGATCCCGAAAGTCATCGCCGAGCAGGCGAACCATCCAATCAGACATCAGCTCGGGTATGATGGACACCTCAGACGACTTGTCACCCATCATCGAGGACACAGAGGAGGATGAGAGAAGCAGCGGCCACGGAGATGAGGATGAAGAAGAGGGGGATTTGGAAAATGAGTCGGCCGATTGAAATGCAGATGAGGCCTTAGCCCCTCCAGATTCTTTGCCGCTAAGTAAGATCTCAGTGAAAATGCCTGGTTTGGGTGTGCAGTCATTACCTGGGTGGAATTTATTACTGTAATCTTTCTTTTTCCCCTTGTTTGGTGTGATTTACGTTCACAGGAGTTTAAACTGCCTGCGCATCATCTGCTGCCCTCTCAGAGTATCTTTTCCTGTGGGTCCTTGCCTTTTTATTTCACTCGTATCTCGAATCCCCTTTTTTTCCAATCAGCCTATCCCCCTCTCCCTCTTCTTCCTTTATGACAGCCCTTGTTCTCCGATAGAAACGGTCGGCTGGTTTACTTCCGTAGCTTTTCTCCTGAGCTGACTTTTACCTTTTGTGAAAGCTCCGCTTGCAGCTGCTTATTTCTCTGCCGCTGTAGCTCAAACATTGTTATTCACTGACCTCTCTTTGTTGCATCTAAGGTTCGCGCAGGCTTCTTTCATTAGTCATTTCTTTTTCTGTGTCCGTCATTCTCCCTGTATCAGTCAGTCCTTCTGTTATCTGCTGGGGGAGAAGATGTTTTCTTTCTCTGTATTCTTTCTTCCATACTATCAGGGTTAAATGAAAAAAACTGAGGGTCATACTGTGCAGTTATTTTCACAAGAGCCCTTTTCTTCTCCCAAAGTGTGTGTGTGCAGCAGTGTTTGCTCTGACCTAACATAGAGGAGGTTTTAGTGTCATAGAGTGATTTGTATTAAACAGAGTTACATCTAGTGTGGATATTAATATACAGTATACCTTTAAAAGCATTTCCTCAGTGATTTCTTCTATTGAAGCAGTACATGATTCAAAGGCTGCTTTGAATCAGTGGCTGCAGTAACTTGGACAATATTTCTTCAACCTGAGTGAATTCATATTGATCAGAGATTCCGACTTAAAGGGATAGTGCACCCAAAAATGAAAATTCAGCCATTATCTACTCACCCATATGCCGAGGGAGGCTCAGGTGAAGTTTTAGAGTCCTCACATCACTTGCAGCGATCCCAGGGGAGAGGGGGTAGCAACACAACTCCACCTAATGGGGGCTTACGGCGCCCCAGATTCAAACGTCCAAAAACACATAATTGAAACCACAAAATATCTCCATACTGCTCGTCCTTTGTGATCCAAGTGTCCTGAAGCCCCGACATAAAAAGTCATTTTTAACCTCATTGTAGCCTGTAGCTCTAACTGCCTCTCTGTGCACCGCGCTATTAACGAGCAGTATGGAGATATTTTGTGGTTTCAATTCTGTGTTTTTTGGACGTTTGAATCTGGGGCGCCGTCAGCCTCCATTAGGTGGAGTTGTGTTGCTACCCCCTCTCCCCTGGTATCTCCGCAAGTGATGTGAGGACTCTAAAACTTCACCAGCGCCTCCCTCGGCATATGGGTGAGTAGATAATGGCTGAATTTTCATTTTTGGTGCACTATCCCTTTAACTGTTTACATGGACTCTATATAAAGTGATCGATAAGATGTTTGTTTATATTTTTGACTTGTGCAAAAACGTTTTGCCTGCTGTAAAGTGTCTAATCTACTGGAAATATAGCAGAAGTTTTTTCCCAACCTTACTGCAAAAAGTCAAATCATTCAACACATAAAGTATATGAGGAGAAGAAGTGGTTCTGCCTGTTAATGCAGTTTAGTAGAAAGTAACGTTTGCATGAAACCCAGGTTATTTCTTTACCTACTGTCTTATTTAATATAAAAAACCTGGAGTAAACACTGCTGCACTGACCTGTCTTTGCTGTGTAGTGTGTTTGCAGTGTAGTGAAAGCTGCTGCTTTCTTGACTTTACAGGACAAACATCTTAAAAGGTAAAAAGTAAACGAAAATGGTCACACATTACATTTGAGATAACAGAGGCTCAACATTGTTGTTTTCTCCTGACCTCTGCTGGTCAAAGTTCTCACTCTGTCTGCTGTAGAAATGGACTGAGGTTGTGGTCAGTGCTCTGATGTCACTGTCCTCTGTGGTTTGTCTTTCTTAAAACAATACTCACATGTCAGAATGTTCATTGATTGAGTTATTGGTTGCTGTAGTCTTCTTGTCCATACTCACTGAGAAGACATCCCTTCCCAATTTTACACAGATGTAAGAGATGGGTCTTGAAAATGATTTAAGTTCTAGTGAAAATGAACAGAACACAAGTTTTTTTTTTTAAATATTTGATGAGGCACAGGTTATGTGCCAAACTGCAACAGACAGCCAGGAAAAGACAGTCACATTTTTGCCTCAAATCTTGAGTTGTGTTCCTGTGTGTGAACAGGGCTTTATAAGAACAGATTCTCTCAGCCTCGTGTCATAAGTTTAATGACATCTTATCTTTGTGGCATTTCTGTGTTTTTCCAGCACGGCAGTAGAAAACGTCGGATCAAGTTGGTGGTGGACCGGGAATATGAGACCAGCTCCACCGGTGAAGAAAGTATGCCAGAGTCCCAACGCAGCCGCATACCCTCCACCCTCAACAGCCACGCTAATGTTAACGGCAGCATCTACGTGGCCCAGAATGGCTCCATCATCCGCACCCGACGCACAGTAAACACCACAGGCCCCACACACACTCACACCACCACCACGAACAACAACCTCAAACTCACCTCCCCCGTCTTCAGCTCACGGCTGGCCAAGCACTTTAAAAAACTCGACAAAATGGCTGCCACGCTGGAGGAAAGAGTCCCCCTGAACCATCCCAGAGTGGCGGCAGCAGACAGCGGGTGCAAGACGCTGCGCACCTTCCAAAGTTCGGGAATGGCTGCCTCTGCGACGGCCACTTCCTCTTTCTCTAACACTGACAACAATAAAACTCTGAATGTGTTTAACACTCGACAATGCAGCGTTTCTTTAGGGTCGACCAGCACCAGCAACACGGGCCCTGACTGCGTAGCGTCTAAATCAAACCTGCTCAGAGCGGCGCAGGGCGGCACAGAGCCGCATCAGAGCACAGCACAGAAAGAGGAGCTGAATGATGGCGAGAGAGAGTCAAAGGTAGACGGCAGTAATGATGAAGAGGACGACGGACTTGTTATGGGGGAGCCGTTGGAGTGCCCGAGTGACAGAACGCAGTCGGATGAGGAGGAATTATGGATGGGCCCGTGGAACAGCCTTCACATACCCATGACTAAACTCTGACTGATCGTGACTCCACTGTGCTCGCTCCTTATTGCCAAGATCATTAAAGTGTTCAGACATCATTTCTGTTCATTAGTTGTGGAACTAATGGGGATGCTCCAATCCAATTAAAAGACATCTTATTAACAGATTGGTGCTCAGCTAAAAGGTGAATTAGCATTTTCTGGTGTTCAAACTGAATTTCATTAAGATGTAAGATTCCTCACATATTGACTCAAATAATTTCTTTATTTTTGTTTAAATTCAGAGACAGATGATGAAAATATAGAAGAAAAAGCAAGTAACTCGGCATCTGATTGGCTGTTTGCTGATTTACTTGTAATGAAATGTCTGTTTTGTATCTGCTCAATATTCCAATCAGAGTGTCCCTAAAGCCCAACTGATCTAAGAGCTGCAACCCCCCTGCGGAGAACTGGACCTAGAATGAGAGGACTTGTTATATTTCTACTTTGCTAAGAGATAATGATGGAAACTTGAGGAAAAAGTCTGTGAACTTTTTATGGCCCTTTAAGCGACTGGTGTCACCGCACTTGTTTCATTCAGAATTACAGCTACTGGTGCGACTCATCTTGCCTGACACTTTGCATTAACACATGAAGTCTTGTATTGTTCAAACTTGCCTTTTTATCCTTGTCAAGTTGCTTGGCAAACTTTATCCAAATAAAAAGACTATTTCATCCATTGAAACGTGGAGTTTGGCTAACTGGGTGCTGTGTTGGTGTCTCCTCTATCCAGAACTAACATGACATGACCGTGGTGAGATGTGACTTTGTTAAGGTCTAATGGAGTCAGTGCTTTTCTGGTTCAGATCTGCAGATTCAATACTTTGTTCTTGGCTACATTTCGGAGCTTCACTCTCTGTTCTTGAAACTGTTTTAATGGTTATTTTAAAGGAATAGTTTGACATTTTTGATGTACACTCTTTAGGCTTTCTTGCAGAGTCAGATGAGAAGAGAGACGTATCAATCTTCTCTAACTCTCAGCATATTTTAAGAAGTCACAATATTCTTATTATGAGGCTTTAATCTCTAAAAGGGTTGGTTAAGTTCCTCCTGCTAAGATTTACAGGTCTTAAGTGCATATAATATGACATATTAAAGAGACACTTAGGTCTTTTTCAACCTGGACTAATGAAGACAATAATTTTTGAAAGTGGTGCAGTATTGAAAGAGACGGCTGCAACTACAAGGACAATGACTGCAATGTAATCCCTATGGACAACTGTGCTCCATCAATTTATGTTCACTAAAATTGCTGCTGTTTGTCACTGACAGGGCCCAGATTGTTATTACAGATGTCTGACAACATTATAGAAGGATCCCTTCATTATATTAAGCCTTTGTTTTTACCTTTGTTGATCAGGTTTGTTGGTTAGTGTGTATAACCACATCTGTTTCAAGGAGAAGTCTCATTCTGAAATCTTGCCAACTTCTCCACATTATACAGTACAGGCCAAAAGTTTGGACACACCTTCTCATTCAATGCGTTTTCTTTATTTTCATGACTATTTACATTGTAGATTCTCACTGAAGGCATCAAAACTATGAATGAACACATGTGGAGTTATGTACTTAACAAAAAAAGGTGAAATAACTGAAAACATGTTTTATATTCTAGTTTCTTCAAAATAGCCACCCTTTGCTCTGATTACTGCTTTGCACACTCTTGGCATTCTCTCCATGAGCTTCAAGAGGTAGTCACCTGAAATGGTTT